GTCAGATTGAGGTGGAATCATTTGTTATTAAACCAAGAGATAGATTTACTGAAATATAACAATCTCCTCTATGATAATGTGTTGAAAGCTTCAGTCAGGGCTGCATACATACACCACTGGAGCAGAGAGAGTGGGCTTCTCCTAGGAGCAAACACATATTTTTATAGCTTCCCCTTTTTCTGTTTTTATAGCTTTCATTGATAAAAAGCCTCTAAAGATACTGTGCCTGCTTTTGGCTCCCACCATCCCTCTTTACCTCCACTAGACCTTAGGGGAGAGATATACAGGAAGGGGGTGGGGTCTCTACCCACATGGACTACCTCATATTTCATAATGACAGTGGTAGCATGGAGTCTATGTATTCCTACCTGTATATGACCCACTTTATGCTTAATGTAAGATGATACAGTACCTAGATCCAACAAGGATTAGAAACGCACCCACAAAGGAACCCTACAAAGAAAAGCAGTGAAACAGACAATACAGGCCACACAAAGTCGTCCTATACTACACAGCTTGGTGAGAAACACAATCTGAGGTGATTTGCTGCTTCCATTCACATTAATTTAGCAGGTAAGCTACACAGCCTGAAATAAATAGCAAATGGTAGGCAGCCTGAAATAAATAGCTATTGGTAGGCTACACACTGGAAAATGAGGTGAGGCAAGCATTTTCGGGTTCCTGTGCATAGGAACTGAACAGTAGCCTACTGTATCATCAAAAGTAAACAACATAATTGAGAAACTCTAAAAATATATATTTGTAATTCTATTGATCATTGGGTTGACTGACAGACTCAGCTAAAACATCTGCATATATGGGTGGGGTGGGCTTATGGGAGGGGGCATATGTATCTGTGTTTACTAATAGATATTTATGTAGCCTTGTTTAGTCAAAATGTAACGCAAAAAAAAGTTATGTTCTGCCTATCAGTTGACGTAGGGATACGACAGATAGAAATGTGATAGTTTTGTTCGAGCTCTCGCGCAGTTTCACAAGGACGCCACATTGGGGCGCGGTCTCTGTCAAATAGTACAAGGTTCACAACGCAGATGATAACGTTTCTGTTTCACAGAACACACGCAGTTCCACAATTGAATCCATAAACAATTATATCGGCAACGTTCCATTTATACGCCCTGCTAAACATGCCCCTGTAAATGTAGCCACATTTAGACGTTGTCAAGAGCAACACAGTCATTTAGGATACATTCATTCCGCACATGTATTTTTACAACCTGTAACAACGCGTGAATATCGAACGGCCAATCAGCAGCTGAGCTACAATATGTTCTTGTTTAAACGGTTACATTTTGTCCTAAAGATCCCTTCTCATTTGGAACGCTGAAACGGGGTCAGAAATCATGTTCTGAATACACTGCAGACACCTCATAAAGATTTGAAGGCTTGTAAATCCTTGGGGATCTGTTCCATATTATGTCTTCACTCTTCAATCATGTATTCACAGAGGCTGATGATGTACAAGATGTGGGCAAACATTACAAAATTACATTACTAGGATACGAAAATATCGTTTCCCTCAATTAACATGACTGTGAAATGACGTGTGGTGGTGCTGCTACTCAATTATAATCTGGCAAGAGAGCAGGCTTTAAACACCTCACACTGTACCTTGCCCTCTATAGCGCCTCCCAACATTATACAAGGGTTCTCGAATTCCTCTTTCTAGTGCCCACATGCATCTGCATGTCTTGGGTTGTCAGCATTAGTGCCTGCTTGGTCTGTAGTGGGAGCAAGGCCAAATAGAGGTAGGGTTTAGTATGGCAATGGGATTCCATTCCACTGCAGTAGCAGCCCTAGTAGGTGGCAGGGTGGAGGGAGGAGCAGACAGATCAGCAAGTGACACCTCACCACCACTCACTTGATCTGCCTATGTAGAGGCCACTCCTCTGCTCTGAGCCTTTTATGAAGGAGGCACGGAGGCAGTTATAGCTCCTCTATTACTGAGATGGTGAATGAATCTTAAAATAAGATTATCATGACTGGGATTTCTTAAATGGGCTGTTTCTTCTGAATACTCTATTTGTCAAAATACTCCCCTTTACAAGACACTAGGGAGTGCTGCAGTGGGTAAATAATGGTTGAATTGAACATTTTGAAATAGGGGTGTGTTCTTTTACCTTCTAAATGGTCAACAATGACTTCAGACACAAATTGTGAGATTGACTTTGACCTACCATTTCTATTTACCTCGCTTACATACTGTCAACTTTGTGACAGGCGTTTCTTTACTCGAGACATGGTCGTCCCTTTGGCCCCTTTTGTCCGTCCAGAGGGATGTCTGGGGCCACTCTCTTTCTCTGCAAACAGCTGCTTTCCACGTGTTGACCTCACAATGGATGAATGGACAACCAGGCCTCATTCACCCTGCTGCAACCCTTGTGCTGTCCTGTCCTCCTGGCCTGGAGAATGACTTGTCTCTCAGCAGTCTGGTGTCTAGTGTGTCATGGTTGACAAATCCCTGACCACACAAGTCCCCTTCTAGGACTCTAAGGATAACCCAGGGCAGTTAGGTACCATTCAAACAAAATAAATACAAGTCACTTATCCGAAAATACACTGGGGGAATATAATATATTGCCCTGTGTGCCATGGAAGGATGTATAATCTTTGAAAAATATAGAGCACCTCACTTTTGCTACTTATTTTCTTGCCAGCTTTGGAAGTTATTTTCCTATTGACAAAGTAGAGGCAAAGCAGGATTGTCAGAGGAATGACTACACCGACAGACCCTACAGAACAATGCAAACACTCCAACAATGTTGTTCAGCAGAGGAAGGGGAGGTAGTGTCACACAGATGTCTATTTTTACTTGGAATCACCAATTCCCTGTAGGGGTGGGGGGTGGGGGTAGCCTATACCTTCTGTTGCATTTCCCTTTGTCCCTAAACCCATTGTGTAGTTCTCCCATTGCTTCTTGGTTGTTCGACTAACCCTTTTGACACTTTCTACTATTGTATAGATTGAGGCAGAGTGAGTCCCATACTGAAGACTTGCTGCTAGGCCCAATTTCTTCTTTGTTTTGGCCCGTTTTGTGAGTTGTAGATAATTAAACAATTTTCCACAACAGCTATTTGAAGCCAATTTAATATTTACAGATATTAATCCTGGAAGATTTTTCTTGAAAACACCACCACAGGCACCTACAACTACCCACCACCCCAACAATATTTCACAGGAACTGCTTTTTCTAGATTACAGCAATACCTTTTTAGACCATTTCCACAAATGTGTCCCTTTGCCTCAAGCGATCATACCTTCAGACAAATCCTTTGTCTTTCCCCAATCATGCTGATGTCTCAAGTTTAAAAAATGCTCACAATACTAGGGTTGTGTGGTAGTCAACAGGTAAATGTGTAAAGACAAGCAAATGGAAAGTCAAATTTTAGTCCCCCCCCCCCCATCATAAAGGCAGAAGTCTGTTGTTTTCTTCAAATTACAGAGACTGGGACAGTGATTCTGACAAGTCATTTTAATTTACTCTGACATGCTAAAAGGGAATAAATTACACTTTTATAGAATGTCCAGCTGTAAAATAGCTAAAGCTGGGTCAGGGGGAATAATTGGGTGGGGGAGAAACAGCCAAGTTACTGGTGTGCATCTGTCTTGACTAAAGGCTGAGAGAAATCCAAATTATTCTTCCTTTACAAGACTCAAAGTAAATAGAAATGAAACCCTCTAACACTTTCTTTGCAATAAAAAAGGAAGGAAAAGGAGGAAAAGGTTGCTACTCTAAGTAGCAGCGAAATGTAGTTGCAGAGAGAAAGTCCCAGAGTATTTTACAAGAGGATCTGCTTCACCGCAGGAAGAAGCAACAAAAACACCCTTTCCCCAAAATGATCAATTCAATACAGGGAAAGACGACTCTATAAAACTGAAAAAAAAGGTAAGTTATCGGATAAAAAAAAGTATATATGTATATAAAAATGATAACGGCAGGGTGGGTGGTGTGAGCAAATTTGTCTCAAAAACGGAACAATGATGCCATCCATCATAGCAATTCAATGAATAAAAAAAGGACATTTGTCGATTGACATTAACATCTCCAAAAATAAAAAATAATTGATGCGTATTTTTTATAAGCAATTTACAAACAGGTTTAGTCAAGTGGGTGCCTAATTTATAATGAATATGCTTTTGTGGAGTTTATCTTTTTTATTCATTGTTTGAGACTTCAGAATACCAAGTACAATATAGTTAATGTAGCGTTCTAAATAGAGACCTAGTAGTCACTAGAATTGTTTTCATCTTCACATTTGAAGCTCTTCTAGCACATATCAGCAGGCAGAATCTTAATTACCCTTTTTATGAAAAGAAACAAAAATAAATCCAATGTTTGCTTAGTAAATACCGAGGATTCATTCATAACAACAAAAGAAACAGTTTCAGTTTACATCTTTCATTTTGCTTGAAAATGAGGGGAAAAAGTTGAATAAGGAAGAGATAATGGTTGTTTCAAAATGTTCAATCTGACTGACGTGTGTCTGGGTCATCGTGCCACGCTCGGTGACTGAAGGAATGGGGACAAAGCTGCGCTGACAGGAGGCCATGAGGTGAGGCAGGCACCCAAGCCGCAGCTCTCAGAGGGAGAAAGTATCAAGGGGAAAGTATTGGCATGTGCACAATTACATCCGCAGTGAGCCAACCATGTCTTATTTTCAGTTTTGAAGAAACACAAAAAAATAATCTTCAGGGACAGGACAATAGAGAAGGCTACAGCTTCGGAAAATTCCATACCAAGCCTGCTTCCTGTGTGGATATAGTATATACATACCAATATATAGATATATGCAGAGCATGTTATCTATATAGAGCGATTACATATATAGTATATGGAACGAAAGTTCTTTAACAGGAAAAAAGGGTTGCCCACAATGCCTGGCAGGTTCTGGTGAATTTGATCCTGGATGCCGGGGTGTGATTGGAAGGCAAATCCTGCTACGGCCACTCTGCTCTGCTTCATTTCATTGTCTTACTGCTCAGAAACCTGCAAGAGAAACGAGAAGAGATAGAGACAGAGACAGAGAGGCCGTAGGTTACACATCAAGTAGAACAACGGGTTATCTTTATCAAAAAGGGTTGAGCGACTGCTATCAACAAGGCCAAGTAAATCACGGCAGTTTTCCAGCCCTGTAATAAAAAAAGTGCCCAGTCATCAGTCCCGCTCTGCAGCAAGCTGGGACCCACTGCTGCAGAGTGCCTGAGAGGGGGGAATCAAACATTTATGGAGCCTTTACTCTGAGCCTCCTGTAATGAAGACATTCACCACCACCTTAAGAGGTTCACAACTAGTACAGAAGACAACAGCAGCTGTGTAGTGTACCAGAGAGTGGGTATAGACAGAAAGACAAGTGGAAAGCGCATAAGGAAACGATGCGGCTTATCAATAAATCTATTTTTAAAGGGCGTAGTTCAACCGAGATATCAAACAAAAACACTTCTAAAGACAAAATGGGGATGTGGCTTGCCTGTGTGAGTCAAACTCCCATCATGCTTCACTGCAGTGGAAGGTAATCTTTACAGACAGCCATTACCCAATGACATGCATTCCATCTCCATAGCCACACCCATGCAGCTCAGTGATGTGGCAGCTGGCCTTTAGAGAGTCGCCAATCCAAAGGAGAGGAACATGGGCAGAACAGGATTGGGTAACCCTAAGATGTATGAGGATTCCTCAATCTTTCTCATGGGCTTTGACAATCTTTTGTCTTCCTCAAGCAAGCCTTCACACCTTGATGATGCGTTCTGAGCCTCACCGAGTGAGTTTAGATGAGTGCAGCTCAAGTCTGGACATGATCTCATCAGATCTGAGTGATATGTGAAGCATTTTTGACACGAACACCCATATGAGTCACCTCCTTCTGCTACAGCAATTCTCTCCGATGTGGTAGGACTCAAAGGAAAGGTGCAGTTTTGCTGCAGGCATTACATGGGAGAGTCTACAGAGAGCCACCAGAGGATCAATCCGCCGGAGAAATAAGCAAAAGTAATGGTTCTGAATTACACATGAAACGCTCTGCAGCTTTTGCTTATTTAATGGACGTCAATGTGAGTCATTGGTTCGATGATGAAAGAAACACACGGATATGAAGGAGGTTCCTGCCGTTTCAAGTGTCCTTGTTTCGTTTAGTTGGAGTGGAGGGGCCAGCTGATGGAAAAGACCAGCCACACTCACAGGGGTGAAAGGGCAGCTCAATTCTCCATATGTGAGCTATTAATAGAACAAGCCTCTTCTAATATAGCAAATACCCTTTAGAAGACTTCACAGCAACATGACGATGACATTTAGGCCCTACACAGACACTAAATGACCATGTGATGATCAAAATGTTTTAGAGAGTAAAGGCCTGGGTTAATGGAGTATGCTATGAGAGTTAGCCACTTGTGTTTCCCTGATTATATCAACGTGGCATGCTCTAAACAAATATCATAATACGAGGCAATTGGGCAATACAGGAGGGCTGAAACGCAAACTCGCATTAACAAGTTTTCCATTGTTACAAGGCTAACAGAGTAGCCAACTCAAATTGGTATCCAAGAAACCAGCAAGTTCTTTCAAGCTCCAATACTTCAGAGCTTGGCTATTTAAATTCCTGGCTGTGGGTACTCAGCACCCTTCACTGGCATAGTTATCTTAAAGGGACAGAGAGTAGCAGAGAACAAATAACTACCGTCACCAGACCTAGAAATAGATGTCCTTTTATATACAAAAACATGAGAAATGAGAAAGAGGATATTTCTTTAGCTTTGCTTGTGAGCAGGGGGTCCGTTAACAAAGGTCCTTTTTTTATCCGTTCAGTAAGGAAAACTTCGGTCTCTCCACCCCTGCAGGAAGGCACATAAAGCAGCGCTCAACTGTGCTGCAAGCTACTGTGCGCATGGAGTCCACATGCTAAAACAGACAGTGCACACAAAGTATTAGACTAATACCACGTCATCAGCAAATCCTATTTATAACTAGCCTCTATTCACAGCACTTGTTCACTGCCATGATGTGGATGTGCCTTGAAAGAGGGGAAGAGAGAGGAGGGAGCAGGGCAGAGAGTGTCCTCCTGCTTTGATTTCATATTCATATTTAATGGCTTTCAAAGCTCTTCTCGGCAGAGCGGAGACAGAGCACTGTCATTAGTCGTGCCCGGACAGCGGGGCAGAAAAGGATTTGCCTGACGTCATCGAAAGAAAGCATCTCATACAAAAAAAAACTATAACCATCAGTAAATATAAGCCACCGGAAGCCCTGTTTGGGGCAGGATTTGACCAACAATACGTCACACAAAATGGTCGCCCCTCTGCTAAGTCAGAGGGGCTGGCGTGCTGGGGAAGAGCAGGACTGATACACTGAGCCCTCTCAGGGGTGCCATCCGTGTCACGTCACCAACATACATTGGGCCTTTTTCTCTCTCTCCAATTAACCTGCACTCAACCCCCAAAACATGTTGGTCTAATAATTCATACTTAATCCACATAGCTCAGATGATTCCCATTGTGTATTGAGGACTTAATTCAGCCCTGCCTAAGCCGTCTGAACCAGGCTGGCACATCAGGACTAATACACACGGAACGGAGGGAGGGCTTCATTAGAGTCCTCCATGCAGTGGGTGGATAAACACATGGTGTGTGTGGAGCAGTGAGGTCTGATGAGGTCAATGTGACAGGCATGATTTCATTTGGGCTGGGGGGAAAATAGAACACCTCTGTGGTGGTTTTAAGTAATAGGTAGTTGGCATTGACTTGTTGTAAACGTGCCTTTACTACTAAACCTAATACAGGTCAGGTGGTTGGTATCCAACAAGGCCGCCCTGCAATTTCATGCCAGAGATTACAAATCTAAAATGGGCTATAGCCTAATCCCTGTGGAAATCCTAGTCGTCACCTGATGAAAACTGCTTCAGGTATTTTGAAAAATTGGGTTGACTCCTCCGCCATCAACCCTGGGCACCCGGGATACCCTCTACGAGAGGGAGGGGGGCGACTGGAATTAAAAGAGGTCATTCAAGAGTCACATCACATGAGCACTAAATTACACATGAAAACAGACAGCAATTTATTACCATTGCACCAACATGATGTATGAAACCTTTGTTAGTGTGTGGTTAGAATAGCACTCCTGCTCATCCAAGTATCTCCAATAAAGATTAACAAGTGTTAGATCCAGGAACAATGATTGCGAGAAATCAAGAGTCAATCGTACATCCCATTTAGAGAAGGGGTTAATTCAAAAGAGGGAAATCACTATGATTTTAACATCCACAGAAGATTATAAAGCCACCCCTTTGTCCCAGAGAAAAATTAAGACATTTGGGTACAAAGTTAGTAGTCAAATTTCCCAAGGACGTCTTTGCATCTGCAAGACAGACCAATTGAATCTCTTTATCTTTTGGGGGCCTCCTCGAACTAACACTTTTTTTCCTTCTTTTTCCTCATTAATCTGGTGGGAGAGAATGTTCCAAATCCACTTTTTTTTTTTACCACTTTGAAGGGGGAACGAAAATGAAAGCAATTGGCGTCTCCATTTTTGCACTCCAAACGTCGCTAGGCTTTTTGCTACTAACCTTTCATGTTACTCTTGGGTTTGTCAGTTTGCTTGCCTGTGGGGGTTTGTGCCGGTTGCCCCTGTCCCCCTGAGGATGCGGCCTGCTGTGCTGCTTTCTGCTTCAGCATTGTCCAGTCAAACGTGTAGTCGTACTGGTGGTTCAAGGTCCTGGACAAAAACACATTCAGACATTGTCACACTGAGCTCTGCTTTATTAAACACCTCTTTACTGTTCCCAAAGGACAATTTGTTTTCAGCCTAAAACATACATGAAAGCAGACAGACTACATGCAAAACATAGACCTATAGCGGTTTGTCCTTTCACTTTCTTGTTCAATAAAGGACACTACACTTACATCTAGTACTATCTGTTTCTAACACAAAGTTGTTCTGAGAAAAAAATACATGACTTGGTGTGTGTGTGTGTTTCAGCTCCCTTGGGGACAAAGAGGTAAGAGAGTTTGAGAAATGATGAGCACCTGAAGAGAATGCGGAACAGCTGACGCAGGTACATGTAGTCAGGCGCCTCCTCGAACCGCAGGCCACGGCAGTAGTTCAGGTACATGGCAAACTCTGCAGGGAATCCCTGAAAACAAGCATAGGAGGTGGAAGGCTATCTATTTATCCATTTTTCAACTGTTTTGGTTATTGTCATGTATACATTACAATGACAGACAGTGCCTAATACATTATTTTGAGATGTGTTCTGGTAAAAATAAGGGCAATTACTGACAGAAAAAAGTGATTGTGAGGTTACACAAGCTACTCCATAGTCTAATGCAAGGCTTGAGCACGCACTCTCAGCCAGCTACTTAAGTATTTTAATGACCAATGGCCACTACGCTTTCAGTTCCAAGGCTATGCATAACAGCCACTATTTAAAGACTGGATTAGATTAGCACCTCCTGCCACCATCTCTGCTCTTGTACACTACGAGAGAGACAGCATTCAACAGTTAGCAACCAGGCACGTACTTCACTGGCTGATGTGGCCACTAATGGACTCGAGTAATCTCTCGACTTCCATAGTAAGCATCTACATTTCTGTCCCTGTGACCCTGACTAAAAATAGTGGCACGGCATGTCACCGAGTTTATCCATTTAACACAGTGGAATCCCTTTACGAGAAACTCAGTCCGCAGGTGGGCGTGAAGGGTTTTGATCCTTCTATGGCATCGTTTCCCAAACTCAGTCCTCGGGACCCCAAGGGGTGCACGTTTTGATTTTTGCCTTAACACTACACAGCTGATTCAAACGATCAAAGCTTGATGATTAGTTGATTATTTGAATCAGCTGTGTAGTGCTAGGGCAAAAACCAAAACATGCACCGCTTGGGGTCCTGAGGATCGAGTTTGGGAAACACTGTCTAAGGTTTCACTCGCTCACCTTACACAACACCTCGACTGGAGTCGACATCTTCTTCTCGCTAATCTTCTCGTACTTCTGTTTCTTTGTGGCAGCCTGTGGAACATGTGGGCGAGAAATGAAAATGTTGTGCACCACAGTTTAACACTACCCTTTGCAGTTTCCCTTCGCGCACACTTCACTGCCACTGGTGAGATCAGTGGCCCATAAACAATGTAAAAGAATGTAATGAATTAGTTTGGCCTGATGTGATTTATAGCACTGAAAGAGCCACCTGAGGGAAATATTGGGCCATTAGAGTAAGTAGTGTTTCTGAGTAATACACTATTCATGGGTCAAATATGTGTACACAAGTATTGTGTTTTACGACCTAGTCCATACTGCTAGGCCGGGCAATTGGGGAAGTAAGTATGTAAAGAAAGGCTTGGTGCTGTAGGTATGTACAGTGCTTTCAGAAAGTATTCATACCCCTTGACTTATTCCACATTGTTTTTATTTTATTAACCCTTATTTTACCAGGTAAATTGTGTTACAGCCTGAATTCAAAATGGATTCAAAAATACATATAATCTCACCCATCTACAGACAATACCCTATAACGACATTTTTTTGCAAATGTATTGAAAATGAAATAGAGAAATATCTAATTTACATAAGTATTCACACCCCTGAGTCAATACTTTGCAGAAGCACCTTTGGCAGTGATTACAGCTGTGAGTCTTTCTGGGTAAATCTCTAAGAGCTTTCCACACTTGGATTGTACAACATTTGCCCATTATTCTTTTTAAAATTCTTTAAGCTCTGTCAAATTGGTTGTTGATCATTGCTAGACAACCACTTTCAGGTCTTGCCATATATTTTCAAGTAGACTTAAGTCCAAACTAACTTGGCCACATTCACTGCCTTCTTAAGCAACTCCAGTGTAGATTTGGCCTTGTGTTTTAGGTTATTGTCCTGCTGAAAGGTGAATTCATCTCCCTGTGTCTGGTGGAAAGCAGACTAAACAAGGTTTTCCTCTAGGATTTTGCCTGTGCTTAGCTCCATTCCATTTCTTTTTTATCCACAGTCCTTAACAATTACAAGCATGCCCATAACATGATGCAACCACCACTATGCTTGGAAATATGGAGTGTTACTCAATAACGTGTTGTATTGGATTTGCCCCAAACATAACACTTCGTATTCAGGACCCAAATGTAATTGCTTAGCAATTCTTTTTAAACAGTATTACTTTAGTGCCTTGTTGCAAACAGGATTCACGTTTTGGAATATTTTTTATTTTGTACAGGCTTCCTTCTTTTCACTCAGTCAATTTAGTTAGTATTGTGGAGTAACTTCAACGTTGTTGATCCATCCTCAGTTGTTTTCTCCTATCACAGCAATTAAACTCTGTCACTGTCTCAAAGTCCCCATTGGCCTCATGGTGAAATCCCTGAGCTGTTCCCTTTCTCTCCGGCAACTGTATCTTTGTAATGACTGGGTGTATTGATACACCATCCAAAGTGTAATTATTAACTTCACCATGATCAAAAGGATATTCAATGTCTTTTTTTATTTTTACTCATCTACCAATAGGTGCCCTTCTTGCGACACATTAGAAAACCTAAAACCTCCCTGGTCTTTGTGGTTGAATCTGTGTTTGAAATTCACTGCTTGACAGAGGGACCTTACAGATAATTGTATGTGTGGGGTACAGAGATGAAAAGGTCATTCACAAATCATGCTAAACACTATTATTGCACACAGAGTGAGTCCATGCAACTTATGTGAATTGTTAAGCACATTTTTACTCCTGAACTTATTTAGGCTAGCCACAACAAAGGGGTTGAATACTTATTGACCCAAGACATTTCAGCTTTTCATTATACTGAACAAAAATATAAACGCAACATGCAACAATTTCAAAAAAAATTCTGAGTTAGAGTTCATATAAGGAAATCAGTCAATTGAAATAAATGAATTGGGCCCTTATCTATGGATGTCACACGACTGGGCAGGGGCACCCACTGGGGAGCCAGGCCCAGCCAATCAGAATAAGTTTTTCCCCACAAAAGGGCTTTAAAACACAGACAGAAATACTCTTCAGTTTCATCAGCTGTCCGGGTGGCTGGTCTCAGACGATCCCACGGGTGAAGAAGCCGGATGTGTCTGGTCCTGGGCTGGCGTGGTTACACGTGGTCTGCGGTTGTGAGGCCGGTTGGACGTACTGAAAAATTCTCTAAAACGACGTTGGAGGTGGCTTATGGTAGAGAAATGTACATTCAATTCTCTGGCAACAGCTCTGGTGGACATTCCTGCAGTCAGTATGCCAATTTCATGCTCCCTCAAAACTTGAGACATCTGTGGCATTGTGTTGTGTGACAAAACTGCACATTTTAGTGGCCTTTTATTGTCCCCAGCACAAGGTGCACCTGTGTAATGATCATGCTGTTTAATCAGCTTCTTGATATACCACACAGGTCAGGTGGCTGGATTATCTTGGCAAAGGAGAAATGCTCACTAACAGGGACGTTAACACATTTGTGCACAAAATCATATTTTTGTGCGTATGGAACATTTCGGTGATCTGTTATTTCAGCTCATGAAACATGGGACCAACACTTTACATGTTATGTTTATTTTTGTTCAGTGTAATTTGTACACATTTCTAAAAACTTTGACATTATTGGGTATTGTGTGTAGGCCAGTGACAAAAAAGCATTTCCATTTTAAATTGAGGCTGCAACAACGAAGTGTGTAAAAAGTCGAGGGGAATGAATACTTTCTGAAGGCACTGTACCAAACACCTTGCCGAGGACTTGAGTTTCAAGCACTAGTACTGCAGGCTGCTCTTCCATGTAATTAGACACAGCACAGACCTCGTGTTCCCTATTTAACCATGCTCGTTGTAAATTAAGCGTCTCACTCTGACACTGATTTCTGCCGCGTCAGAAAGGGCATTATGTTGGAAATGCAAGTCTAGGTGAGGTTACAATGAAGAGCATAAAACTGTACATTCGAGGCACCCCATTTCTCTGCAGGATATATACATTTTTAAAAGGTAATTAGCGGGAACCTTTGGGAAGTAGCTGACCTCAAGTAACACTACAACTTGAATGGAAAGTTAGGGATAATCTACTAGTAAGACTAGCTAACAAACTACCCTGCAATGTACGAGGCACATTAAGCAATGTTACTAAACAAACAAATTGGTTCCCTGAAGTTGTCAGAGAATAAAACTATTTAAAACATTCAGCTAGAGTAAAAAAAATGTAATGCCAATGTGAAGTCATGAAAATGGTAAATCGGCTGAATTCAGGTTGTTATGGAGACAGCTGAAAATCTGTTTAAAAAAAAGCTAGTAGCAGAAGCATGGAGGAAAAGCTGGGGCGAGTTAATGAAATATTAACCACCAATTTAGTGGACTGGGAGCCCTAGAGTACCTGCCTGGCCTACCTTTAGTCCCTGCCAGGGCAGGCTGGTTCTGTTGAAATACATCAGGACGTATCCTAGCGACTCCATGTCATCTCGGCGACTGAAAACAAACACAGACATTTGGCATTCAGGTAATACATCTCAGTTGGTTCAAGCGCAACACATTTCACATTCATCTCAAGGCCTTTTGTAATGGCTGATCTGTACAAGACTGTACCAACTTCCAGACCGCTGACACCATTAATTGCTTGTTTGAATTATGAGATGCCAATAGAGTGGCGTGTCTATCCTGTTATGGTGCTTCAACGGAAGGCAATCCTTCTTTTCCCCTACTTCACTAATGTTGTTTTTGGGGCACGGCTCAGTGGAGTAGCCACATGCTTTGGGTTTTTTCATTTCCCAACTGAATGCTTCAAATGACAACATGAAAATGAGCATTCATAAAAAGCCTGTTTAAACAAGGGAATAAGAGGATTTCTAACAATGTTAAATTCGATCATCTTATCACGAAAGGCAATGTTTGCAATTAATTAAGGCTTTTATGAAAATTACTGCAAGGTTGCGGTCATATGCCATACTAGTATGTCAAAAGATAAAGTACAGGAAAAACACCACATCTCCAGTCTTGGACTTACTTGGTTACAGTACAGCTCAATAGAGAGCAATGGTGGAATAAGGGAACAAGATTGATCTGGCTAAATCATATGGCCCTGTTGGTCAAAACTGGGATTCTGGGTCAATGGGAAGTGCAGCCGTTGGTGGCTGCTAGATTCTAGATCGACCAATGGAAGCAGCTTGGTCATCATGAGGACAAGTCCTTCGAGAGCCACTCTGCAGCCCCAGCAGGAACAAACAAACAGTCTGAACATCAAAAGCTCCTTCGTGCCACAAAAAAATGAGTGGATACCGATAAGTGGGGGAAGAGACCCATTAACCAACATATTAAGTCCTAGGATCCTAAACACTGCGGCCTATTAGTGTACAAACGAGGAAGGATTAGAGAATATCCAGCGAAGGCCGAAATATATTACTGGGTGGTGAACTGCTCTTACCTCTGTTCGATGCCCAGGTGTGCGTTGATGCTGGCATAGCGAGCTGTGCCTGTGAGATTTTTGTCTTCTCTGTAGGGTATGTGCTGTCGTGTCCTGTTGTCCCTGTATTTTTTGGCCAGACCAAAGTCGATGAGGAACAACTGTAAAAGGAGGGGGAGAAAGAAAAAAACATCTGACATTTTAAAGTTATCCTGATTCAGAGGAGCGGTTGACAAAAATGGAGGCTGCCGCTGTGAGAGACCATGGGCCTATTCTTCCAATTTCCTGCTTTGCCCTGTGTACCATTTGACTAGAGAAGCAGCCATTCTCAAGGCCCCTGATTGTTATCTATGAAAACAATGCTGGCCATGTGATGGCAGGATCAGGAAAACATCCAGGGGTCAAAGTCTGAGGCAAATGGAATTTCTGCAGGAAACTCAAGAACAATTTCATTTCACTAATAAGCTCCCTGTCTGTTAAAAGCCCTCTTTAAGGTCGTTGAAAGCATCGGCCTTCAATGTCTGTCTTGGATCGGAATGACATCTCATTTGTGTACTGCCTGCCATACTACTCCACTCTACTGCCCACGCACAACTGCAGGTTGCAGTCCCTGAGAAAGTGCCTCGCCCAACAGAAGTGTTTCACTGAGGCAGCATTGACTGACTGGCGGCTGCAGTCATATTGAAACGGATCCACTCAGCCATGCCTCAGCTTGCTTGGCTCAACCAGGGATTCAAACCTTATTTCCTGTTGTCAAGACAATTAGCTACACCAACCGTGAAATTTAATTTGGACGCTTCTATCTGAAAAGTCTGGTCAGGAGAAAAGGCAGTTCCACACGCAAGCGTCCACTTGCTGCAAACTCACTTTTCCACATTATTCATTAACTTGCGCCTTTTTCTTCTGTCCTGAGGTACCTTTCGTTTTAGTTCAATAGCAAGTTTATTGCAAACAGAATGGAACATTTTAGAGTCTATAAATACACAATGTAGCAAGGCGAGTGGCTACCCTAAATAGCATATTCCAGCTTTCACAGAACAAACGCTTGCGCTTGAGGAGCTTCCATTAAACCTGCAGCGCTGAAACAGAAAACCAAGAACGCATTAAATTGAAGCAAGCTGCTATCTGGTAAGCGTTTGTCAACTATTAAGCCTACAGAACTTGCATGAACAATGCGTACAGTCAAATGATTGCTGAAAGTTAGTTTCATAATTTGAACAATCAGTAGAAATGTGGTCCAAATACACAACCTATTTAATTTTCACAAAAAAGCCTGACCCGTTCTGACCAAATGCTTCCCATTTTCTCCATCCATGAATGTTGAAGGAAGAGGAGACGTTAACATACTGCTACAACATTAATGGCAATTGTGAAAGGGGGATCAGTTACCTTGCAAAAAAATACTTAAACATCAGAACTTAGCTCATCTAACAGGCCAATGACTTTCAAAATACATAGTGAGGGAAAAAAGTATTTGATCCCCTGCTGATTTTGTACGTTTGCCCACTGACAAAGAAATGATCAGTCTATCATATTAATGGTAGGTTTATTTGAACAGTGAGAGACATAACAACAAACAAATCCAGAAAAACGCATGTCAAAAATGTTATAAATTGATTTGCATTTTAATGAGGGAAATAAGTATTTGACCCCTCTGAAAAACATGACTTAGTACTTGGTGGCAAAACCCTTGTTGGCAATCACAGAGGTCAGATGTTTCTTGTAGTTGGCCACCAGGTTTGCACACATCTCAGGAGGGATTTTGTCCCACTCCTCTTTGCAGATCTTCTCCAAGTCATTAAGGTTTCGAGGCTGACGTTTGGCAACTCGAACCTTCAGCTCCCTCCACAGATTTTCTATGGGATTAAGGTCTGGAGACTGGCTAGGCCACTCCAGGACCTTAATGTGCTTCTTCTTGAGCCACTCCTTTGTTGCCTTGGCCGTGTGTTTTGGGTCATTGTCATGCTGGAATACACATCCACGACCCATTTTCAATGCCCTAGCTGAGGGAAGGAGGTTCTCACCCAAGATTTGACAGTACATGACCCCATCCATCGTCTCTTTGATGCGGTGAAGTTGTCCTGTCCCCTTAGCAGAAAAACACCCCCAAAGCATAATGTTTCCACCTCCATGTTTGACGGTGGGGGTGGTGCTCTTGGGGTCATAGGTAGAATTCCTCCTCCTCCAAACACGTTGAGTTGATGCCAAAGAGCTCCATTCTGGTCTCATCTGACCACAACACTTTCACCCAGTTCTCCTCTGAATCATTCAGATGTTCATTGGCAAACTTCAGACGGGCCTGTATATGTGCTTTCTTGAGCAGGGGGACCTTGCAGGGCGCTGCAGGATTTCAGTCCTTCACGGCGTAGTGTTACCAATTGTTTTCTTGGTGACTATGGTCCCAGCTGCCTTGAGATCATTGACAAGATCCTCCCGTGTAGTTCTGGGCTGGTTCCTCACCGTTCTCATGATCATTGCAACTCCACGAGGTGAGATCTTGCATGGAGCCCCAGGCCGAGACAGATTGACACTTATTTTGTGTTTCTTCCATTTGCGAATAATCTCACCAACTGTTGTCACCTTCTCACCAAGCTGCTTGGCGATGGTCTTGTAGCCCATTCCAGCCTTGTGTAAGTCTACAATCTTGTCCCTGACATCCTTGGAGAGCTCTTTGGTCTTGGCCATGGTGGAGAGTTTGGAATCTGATTGATTGATTGCTTCTGTGGACAGGTGACTATACAGGTAACAAGCTGAGATTAGGAGCACTCCCTTTAAGAGTGTGCTCCTAATCTCAGCTCATTACCTGTATAAAAGACACCTGGAAGCCAGAAATCTTTTTTTGGGATTTTGTTGTTGTTATTCTGTCTCACTGTTCAAATAAACCTACCATTAAAATTATAGACTGATCATTTCTTTGTCAGTGGGCAAACGTACAAAATCAGCAGGGGATCAAATACTTTTTTCCCTCACTGTACATGTTGGTTTCAGCTCTAACATGCCGAGTCACTCCATTTCTTGGATTTTTGGTTCCTACTGGAACAATTTTAGTCAACATACTGAAACATTCATCTCAAAAACAACCATATTGACTCAACAGGCCCATCCTAACAAACCAACCTGTGAAACAAAGTAGCACAAACCTAGATACTTTTAAAGCTAAGTCAAAGTATGTATGATCATTTTCTGACTGAGGGTTCTGGTTATGCAATGCCATACTAGTAATTAGCCTTCAAGCACAGTCTAGTTCTCTTCCAACTTGAAAAAACTGAAAAATGTTGAAGGAACTTTAGGTCTGCGAGCATGTATAACCTAACCACACCCGTCTGCCGTGCAGGTCCTCAGTCGGGCTTTTCAGGCCCTGTATTTCCAAACACTCCTTTTTTTCTGCTCATTATGCCTCTGGCTGCTGGCCAACAGTTGGCCAGGCCAGGCAGGCTGTGAAGTCAGCAGCACTGTCTCTGTTAACAGGCAGCTGGTTCAGACCAGCTCAAAGGCTGCCACATTGCCAGTTGCTCTGGAACAGAGAGGCATCACCACAGCACAGTTCTCACAGCCACATGGCCCAGTTATCCCTCCTCTGTAATGCCAAGGTGCAAGTCATATAAACCAAGTAGCTACAGCTCTGCTGAGCAGACAGAAAATCTTTACGAACTTGAAAATATTGCCCTGTGATCTCACCTCAATTTTGGCTTGTTTTGGCCAGCACGGTCACTTGAAATGGACACACTACTCATAAGGGTTAGTGACTGATATTTTCCTGTGTTGAGTATCCTAAAACCCAGAAGGAAATGATAATTTGGGAAACTAAGAAGAGAAAATAATATTGTTTAGCTGGCACGAAAAACTCAGTGAAAACAGCTCCAAGGAAATGGAAAAGCATCCAAAATATAAATTAGCACCATGACCACTTCAAATGAGAGGAGAGCGTGTCCCCTCAAAAAAACCATCCTCCAGAAAATTCAACAGCATCTCCCGCTACTAGTCACCATGTCCTTTATCCACCTACTCTCAGATCCCTGCAATCTGGATTTGGTGTTAATCTCTAGATCTGTTTAACATGTGTGTCTGGTTTAATGCCAATACGGTGGTCATAAATTATTGACCAAATTAAATAAAAAAGTAGTACTGCTTCTAAATGGGTATAAAATAAAATAAAAAGGTCAACAGAAGTTGGGGGAGTATTAAGAGGCGGTTGTGGTTTCAGACCTGGTTTAATCCTGAGAAAGATGGGTCCTGAGAAGAACTAACAGCCAAGCTTCTTTTCCTCTTCCCCACTGGAGATTCTAAACACTGAACAAACAATAGAGGGTGCAGTGCATCAAACAGGATTGCTGACAACCCCACAAGGCCAGCGCAGACAGGCAACACCAAGGCTCAGAAAAAGAACGGGAGGAGAGGGAGGAAAAGGGGAGGGGAGAGAAAGCCCAAGGCCATCCTTCGTCCACCAGCAAGCATATGAGCTAAATTCAGAGAAGAGTCAGCCTGGGCTTAGATGCAAGCCAGTATTTAGGCAGATGGGGGTGGGATGTCCTGCAGGATATGCAGTCCACACTGCCATACCAATTTCAGTCAGAGGCAGAACTGAAGACAATATAACTGCCCAATCCCTAAGTTATTTTATCTTGCTAAAAAAGCAAACACTTATTTCCAAGCCTGTTTCGCGTTTTTGACTTTGCAGTGGCTTTTTGATATTGCAGCATTTAACGCTAGCAGTGCCACACCAGTGCTTTTTACGATAATCATTTTACAAATTTGGAGTAACAGTCTGCCTGGGTACAGAACACAATATGCAGTTGACTTACTGGCACAACTAGGGTTAAAAGAGAAGGCAAATAATTAAGGCCATTCCCTAAAATGGGCACTCATTTAACAATAAGGTGTGAAAAAGCTTTGTAAAAAAACGCTGCCACCCAACCCCACCACCTCCTTGATATCTCACAGGAAGCAATGGATCAAATAATTGTTTAAAAGTTTATTCTGATGGCTTGGAAACGGTGGACACCTTCAGTAAGGAAGAGGGTAGAATACTTTGGAAAAGCCCAATCTGGCAACGAGCAGCTCTACAGCGCAAAACAGAGGAAAAGCATGCAGTTAGAAAGGAACATGAATCAATCTGCATGGAGCCGTCAATACATGGAGTAGATTTAGCATAGCTGCGAGAGATGCATGACAGGACAGCCTTTATGATAGTGGCTCTTACTTAGAAGATTTCTATTGAACAGCCCAGGACAAAGCAAAAAAACAAGCAATTAGATTACAATGATGCCAAGCTGAGTATCACTCTCAAAACAATAGGGAAAAATCTATTGTTGGTGCGGTGTACACTAGCAATCGATTAAAGAGTGGGGGGTTAAAGTTTAACTATTGCTCTTCACTCTACTGTTAGCAAAATGTTAGATTTATTTTCATCAATGGAGCTATGTCCAAATGAAGACTAATTCAGAAACACACTTCCTGAATTAAAGGCTACCACCCTTTTGGGCACAAGCTAAGGGGTTTAATAAGCACCATTGTAAAAGAGCAGGTTGGAAGCAGAATGCGGAACGAGTTCAAGTGAAGAGAAAGGCAGTTCATTTTAAACATCAAGAGGATAGAGTGGGGTTCGCAAAAGCTACTAATCTGCCATGTCTTCCCATCCATTGAGTTCAGTGCACACCCTGCGCAAGACTTCTCAGGCTTGGGTGTCAGAGCTTGCAGTCCAAAAGGATTGTATGTGCACCCTTTATAATGTTGGTGGAGTTTAGTAAAAAAAAAAAAAAAAAAGTGACAATTTCATGTGTATGTAAAAAAGCTTGAGGCTGGCATTCACACAGACACACAATGGTAAACACTTATTCCAGACAGCACTGTCAAAAATGGTAATACAGGCTTCAAAGCTTGAATACCCCAAAAGGTACTGCTTCGTTTTAATTAGACTAGCCTGATGCTGACTGATAAGTTTATATCACATTAACACTAACGACCGCCACAGTTCATGTGGACAGGTCTGTGTTAAAACACACATCCTGCTTTAACTTTGCCAAATGTTGCCTGTCTGCAAGGGCTCAAAATAGTGAGTTATTTAAAAAACAAAATACAAATCAGGCAACTTGAATACAGTTTGTATATGAAAAAATTATCACAAAATGCCTTTAAATGATTTTCTGCAAGGGGGAAAGAATAAATGGGATTACACATCATGCAGAAACCTTTTTGTAGTCTTACTAACACCTGTCTATGATCTGAAAGAGATCCACAACTATAATGCTGTCTAAGAAACCAGAGGGCCTGTATTACCTGGCCGTAAAAGTACCTTAAAACAATTCCATCCTTAACAAGTGGACTAAACCAACCACAAACAACTAGCCTTAAATGTCCATTACCCAGGACATGCAGCCTATTCAAAGAAAATAATCACATGATTAGCCTCACTGAGGATTATATTATGAATATTTTCTACAAAAAATACTTGGCACCACCAAAACGTATAAAAACTAGATAATTTGGGCTACTTGTATCATTTCACACAATGAAGTATAAACAAAAGCAGTAACTAGGTCAGAGATTCAGTCCACTTAATGCATCTCAGGACAGGGAAACTGCTGTAAGCTTACCTTGTTACAGTGACGGCCAATACCCATTAAAAAGTTGTCTGGCTTGATATCTCTGTGAATGAAGTTCTTTGTGTGCACATACTCGATTCTGCTGATCATCTGTGGAAAAAAATGGCTCTCAATCAGTTAACGCAAGAACTTGAAAATAGACTGGTGTTCTTGTAAACCCATTTTCAAACGTTTCATAAAAATGTGTGTTTCTAGTCATTCTCCCTTTTGCAGCCAGAAAATCTATATGTTTTGTGTTTATCTTAATAAAAACAAAAAAAGCAACCAGACGAAGTTAAGGGGCCAAAGTGCAAGATAAGGAGCAATGATTCAACCGAGCCTTACCTGGTCTGCGAGCATTAGTACAGTTTTCATGGTGAACCTGCGTGAGCAGAAGTTGAAGAGGTCTTCCAGACTGGGTCCCAGCAGGTCCATCACTAGGACATTGTAGTCTTTTTCTTGGCCATACCACCTGCAAGACAGCACCAGCCATACGTCAATATTCATGCTAACTCAGAACAAAAGTTATGTATTGGCGTTGTCTTAGGTAAAAATGTGTAGTAATTTGCATAGCAATCACAGAGTAATTTATTAGGCCTCTGCAACATTTAAAGAGCATGGGGGTAATCATAACCCCATCAAAACCCCTGGGACTCTAGTGAATTACAGAGGCCTTATCTATCATTAACAGGGTGGTTTCATTTTTAAAGCAGGGCCTGGTGCTAGTTAAAGAGTCAAATGTAATCTTCACAGCTCTGCCATTAGAGGTCAGGGGGACTCCCAACACCTCTCCAGTACACTGCCAGACCAGCAGTCGCCAGGCAACCATCTTGTCCAAGAATCCACCAAAAAAAAAAGAGGTATTGTAGGGGAACGACGTACACTATTTATACAAAGTATGTGGACACCCCTTCAAATTAGTGGATTGGGCTATTTCAGCCACACCCGTTGCTGACAGGTGTAAAAAATCGAGCACACAACCATACAATCTCCATAGACAAACATTGGCAGTAGAACGCCCTTACTGAAGAACTCAGTGTCTTTCAACGTGGCACCGTCATAGGATGCCACCTTTCCAACAAATTAGTTGGTCAAATTTCTGCCCTGCTAGAGCTTCCCCGGTGAACTATAAGTGCTGTTATTGTGAAGTGGAAACGTCTAGGAGCAACAACGGCTCAGCAGCGCAGTGGTAGGCCACACAAACTCACAGAAAAGGACCGCTGAGTGCTGAAGCACGTAGTGTGTAAAAATCGTCTGTCCTCGGTTGCAACACTCACTACCGAGTCCCAAACTGTATCTGAAAGCAACTTCAGCACAATAACTGTTCGTCGGAAGCTTCACGAAATGTGTTTCCATGGCTGAGCAGACGCACACAAGCCTAAGATCATCATACGTAATGCCAAGCGTTGGCTGGAGTTGTGTAAAGCTTGCCGCACTTGGACTCTGGAGCAGTGGAAACGTGTTCTCTGGAGTGATTAATCACACTTCACCATCTGGCAGCCCAACGGACTAATCTGGGTTTGGCGGATGCCAGGAGAACGCTCTCTGCATAGTGCAAACTGTAAAGTTTGGTGGAGGAGGAATAATGGTCTGGGGCTGTTTTTCCATGGTTCGGGCTAGGCCCCTTAGTTCCAGTGAAGGGAAATCTTAACGCTACAGCATACAATGACATTCTAGACGATTCTGTGCTTCCACCTTTGGTGGCAACAGTTTAGGGAAGGCCCTTTCCTGTTTCAGCATGACAATGCCCCCGTGCCCAAAGCGAGGTCCATACAGAAATGGTTTGTCAAGATCGGTGTGGAAGAACTTGAAGATTCAAAATTGTATGGGACAATATACAAACGTTTTTGAGAAAGATCAATGTTCTTGAATAAATGTATTTATTGATGCCTTTTCCATTATGATTTGAGATGAAAATGCAATTGATTTTAAGGTTTTGTCATTTGATTTGTGGTGGCAAGAAAAACTGTACATCCCAGTTCAACAGCATCAATGCCTGGAGGAGAGAAGGACCAGAAACAAACATGGGTGATGGAGTAAATAAATTGTTTGTAAATTGTTTGATGGTGCACATTTCAGGATATTGTAATTCAATGATATTCTACGTCGGGGGGGCTGAAGTGAAGTCGCCCCCCAAAAAATGAACTGTATTGAACATTTATTAATTTGCCCAAGTTTATCATTAGACATGAACAGAATGCATCAGTGATTCGGAAATCACCATCACCCACTAATTAATGTCATTTTTGCAGATTCAAAGTTTGAGCTAGTAATGTATGAATATTTATCTTAAATTAGCTATGACATAGCCAATGAATATATATAGCACAACTTTGGATTTCACCGTCATCTCAAATTCGAATGGTTTAGACTGTTTGGAAGTTATTTTCCTCCTGCTTTGACCCGTGCAGTGCGGGTAGAAAAATACATTCCTGTGCCTGTTATGAAATTATCAACTTTACCCAGTATATCTAAAAATGACCATATACACTGATTGTTTAAGGCAAAACTACCAAAACTACTGCTGATGGTGAACCTGAACAATTGAAATAAAATCGAATGTAGCCTAAAACACAATTTTCAACAGCGCATTTGATAACAATAACCAAGCAAATGACAGTTGCCATTCCAATAATAATAATACTATTGTTAATAATAATAATAATAATAATAACATTGCTTAAGCCATTAGAAACATTTGAATGCTGAAGGTGACGTGCGGCCTACCACTTGGTCAGCGCACAGTTTGACTAGGCTACTGATATTGCCTGGGTTGTTCAGCATGCAAAATGACTTGATCAATGACTCAACACAGTTACATGCTTAGTTCGACACTGAAGGAGAGGACGCATCAGTTGTTACAAAATACAAGGTAATTTGGGAAGGTAGAAAGTAAAAATATGAGCAAAGGAAATGGTGAACCGGCGATTCGTAACATTTGGAGAGAAAAAAATGGACCGATGCATGCTACATCCATCTTAAAAATGTGAATTGGGACCTGATGCCTATCAGTGAATCGTTACATCCCTATTAACCTGGCAGAATTAAATCTTAATTATTTGCATCAATCAATGGGTATTTTGTTTAGCAAACTAACATCACATGTGCGCTACAAAAACACAGCTAAACAGCCTCTTGCTGTGAGCACTGGAATTTAAAAGGGAAAATTACACCCCAAAATCTAAATTTCTCACCTTTTTCCCAGACCTCAAAAGTGGTCTCCTGATGTTGTTTAAGCATTGTTGCAGACTTAGATTAGATGTTGTTGTTTTTTTACGTGTGATTTTGAGAGCGAAAACGGAAACCGGAGGAAGCGGAAATTGGGGAAAAACAAACAGAGTCAGGCAAAAAAATTTAACAGATAGATCGTTTTGGAATTAGCTATGGCAGGGCTTGATTTTTTCTTGTCCAATAGATCAAGTCACTTGTCCAAAAATTTAAAATGGTCTTTAACAACTTTTACATCATTGTATTATTTCCAGACACCACTTTAGAAAATAAAAGCACTGCACGCGTGAGCGGTTTCCTGTGACAGATTAAAATTAAGAAAGAGTGGAGATCTAGAGATGCATCAACTAGCATGGTTTACTTATGACTAGGACTATGCCTTTGGCTGCTGAAGAATGAAAAAAATGTTGATTTGAAAACCAATAGAACATGAATTCTGCTTTCAATGGCATATTATACCCAAATGTTTATATAATAATTCCCTCAACATTTCTATGGTCTTATTTTGGCTAGGCTACTTAGAAACAAAGTAAGAAATGTTTCATAAAATAACAAATTGTCCAAGTTTTAAACAATTAAGTTTATGGTTAAACAGTTTCAAAATGCTGAGCGCCTCCGCTCAGATTCAAGGTGGGTGATGTGCGGTGAGCAACAGGCACGGTCCTTCACTCTCCGGTATTGTGACCATCTGAACACACCGTGCCTCGAGTATGTCGACAGAATCAAGTCTTTAGACGTTAATGTTTAATCATCCTTCATTATTAGTCGTCAAACATGACCGGCATTTAGCCTATATTTATGTAATTAAAAGTCTCAATTTTGGCTCCATTTTCTGGCGCCTCCCTTATGTCAGCATTGGTTTGGACACGAGGCTGTAGCCAATATACATGTAGGCTTTATTTATTTACTTACATGAAAAATACATTTCAATATTTTTCCAATATTGGCCTCTCTGATCCAAATCTTATTGCAGTAATTGTTTGTGATTATTTTTTATACTTGTTCATTTGGACAACCAAATCTATATTCTTTATTATTATTATTTTTTTACTTGTTCCGGACAAGAGGACAAGCGTTAATGTCGAGCACTGTAAGGGTGTTGTTGGTCAACAGCATTTCAAAAGACCGTCCATGATGGCAGAAGAGCAAATGTACCTTGAATTAAGCAAACCATTCCAAACTCTGCACTTCAACAACCTTACACACCCCTGGACACAGCCCCCCTAGCACATGAGTAACAGCCAACATGTAGCTGCCAAAAAGTATGGTGGTAAAATGTGGTAGGCCTATGCAAAGCTCTAGAGGTGGGTAGATCCATATTGGAATTGTCAGTGGAAAATTCCAGGCCAGAGCCAATTCAGATACAGACTAATTTAAAACATGCCAATCTTCAGAACGCAAAACAGGAAACGCTCAATATGCTGATAAACCATGTACCTTGACATGCTGAAAGTGTACTGCTACATTTTATCAATATGGAGAAAATGTCAAATAGAGGGTTTTGACAGAAAAAATACATTGTGAATACGAAGAACCCTGGAAAATCAGGGCAGACAACACCGTACTTAAACCATATAAATAAAATTGTACAGAGAATGTGTATGCCATCTAGGCTACATGTTAAACTACAGTCAATTAGAGTCCAAGCACAATAAGCAATCCACTAGTTGAATACTGTTCATAAATACTGCTCGGGCAAACGCATTAAAGGAAACTACAGGCCTCTTTGTGAGACTAATTTCCTCTTTTAGAGAGGCCAACAGCACGCTGCTCAAAAACAAAAGAAATATGGGCATAATATCAGTAGAAACCCAAGCTTATGAGACCCTAACCAACATGCAACTACAAAAGGGACTCAATTAAGGAAAGAAACAAGAGACATGTCATTAACGAATAGATGGGCATTGCATTTTTTGAAGGTGGAATTAAAAAAAGAGCAAGGTTTCATAATCTCAATGGAACCAAGAGGGAATGCACAAGCATGAGACTTCCCTTCCTGTTGATTACAACACAGCCATTCAATTGCAACAGGCAGAGTGGGGAGGTGGGGCTTCTTCAGCAGGTTCTTCTGGCTTTGAAAAAGTTCCATGAATTATTTTAATCTTCCTGCTATGTCCTACAGTAACAAGCTTCCCAAACACTCTAAAACGGCTAAATTCAAAACCACACTTTACAGCTTCTGACACTACTCACTAGGCCTCAAAGCCTGTACTGCCCTGCAGCGCACATTAATGCAAAATTAATTAAATGTACCGGTAACAAGAATTCTGAAAAGGCCTTTGCCAAGGTAACTCCCAGTCTCTGCTTTCATTCATGCAAATTAGAAATTCCGCTCTTTACCTGCCAACAGCCAAGGGCTGGGCATATCCATGACTGGAGTTAACACAAAACGGGTCTCATCTACACGGTATGTAGCTAAGTCACAGAATGCAGCTCTAGTGTTCAGGTTACCAGTAAGCCATCATGCCAAGGTCCACAAGAATTGTCTTCAAATACCGTAAAACTTGGAATAATAGCCCAGGCGTTTATTTGCTTCAATTACTCAACAAAACCGGTGCAAGAGTGTGCAAAGCTGTCATCAAGGCAAAGGGTGGCTACTTTTAAAAGTCTCAAATAAAGTATATTTTGATTTGTTTAACACTTATTTGGTTACTACATGATTCCATATGTGTTGTTTCATAGTTTTGATGTGTACACTATTATTCTACAATATAGAAATAAAAACACTTGAATGAGTAGGTGTCCAAACTTTTGGCTATATATATATATAGAATGTAGTAAAAATAGTAAATAAAGAAAAAGCCTTAAATGAGTAGGTGTCCAAACTTTTGACTGGTACGGTATATTTGATATAACATTGTATTTTTGTGCTTTAGCCCATAGAAATGCATTGAATAAGGCATTTGTACATGGCAAAACAGAGAGTCAAAAAATAAACCATAAGAAGTGTTATATCTGAGATAAGAAAACTCAGGCTGCATACCCCCTATGCACGCTGTGCCATTTTTACAGCACAGTACTGGGTTACCTTCAGACGACTCCACTGAAGCTTGTGTGCGTCGAAAAACAGACATTCATGAGAGTCTCCCCTTTCTATATTGTTGACAGTTTGTAGCGCCAACTGTTCGGTCTGGACAGTCGGTCTTGTGAGAAAACCTCGTCGAAATTAGGACGGCGTTCAGGCGACTGCCGTAAAGCTTGTGGATGTCGTAGAGCGAAACAAACATTGTCGTGTTTGTGAGAGTCCCATCTTTCGATGGGGGTGACTTATTCGTTTGTAGCTCAAACAGTTGTGGATGTCGTAGAGCAGCGTCACCAACCTTCTGAGTCAAGATCACTTTGAGTCAAAATGCAAGCAGAGATCTACAGCTCAGATTTTTTTTTAACACTACTAGACTACTAAAATGTACGTCTATGCATCTTTGGTAAAAACAGTTCTGTAGCAATGAGGTTTGTGCAGTAGGCCAGTGGTTCCCAACCAGGGGTACTAGGACCCCTGGGGGTACTTGGCCTATCCACAGGGGGTATTTGAGAAGACTCATGAGACCATAGCCTACTGGTAAAATGCACATGGGGTACTTCAGGGGTACTCCGGGCAAACCAAAATTCTGTTGGTGGTACAGTAACCGAAAAAGGTTGGGAACCACTGCAGTAGGCTATAGGCCCAATACGTTATCACTGCATATTGGCTATGCTTGAATTGCCTGCCAATGTTGTTTTTCTCAGACCATTTAGAAATTATATTCTACATTTGAGGTATATGATCACACTGGTAATAGATCATTTGTTGTATTACTTGTGAGGCACAGCTGAGTGAGAATAATCTCACTTTTAATATATTTTATTTTACTGGACTGATGGCCTTCATCTGATGGTAAGTCTGAGGGAGGAAGAGCAGCATTGAGGTAACTGCGATGCAACCAAGACAGTTTGAGTTTTTACATTGTGCTGTGTAAAAACTCTTGGTTGCATCGAAGCTAGCGGTGAGTCTGTCTTTCACCAACTCACCATCCCTCCCTCCTCTGAGAAAAGGGGACAGTCTTCCAACTGACGGCGAAACTCAAGTCGCACTGCAATATTGCTGCCTCGTGCACCAATTCATGCTGTTACTCCTATGACCAGAGAAAGTGAAATATTCCTTGATATAAAAAAAAGAAGCCGCTAATAATTCACGCTTATAGAAACACTTTGCTATACTCATTCATTGCAGCTGCAGTACTGGTTATAGCGTGAGCTGAAGTAGGGAGGACACTTTATAGTTTTACGTTTCCAGTGGACTTCATCTGTTGGTCTTTTTCTTTACTAAAGAGAAAGTTGTTTGCAAACTCACTACGCAGTAATAGAATGGCATTTTTTCATGTCAATAACTTAGCTCACCAACACATTACACCTGAGGTCAATTAAGTGGTGCCAGTTTTCCAGAATGTTTGCAGAACTGTCAGGTGAGTTCCATAACAGGAATGTCCCCAAGCTCAGAACTAGACAGGTGCACCAGCCACATGCTGATGATGTACCTGAAAACAAACAACCGACTATGACAGTATAGAGGGAGCATGAAACACCCGCTTATACAACCACTTTCTTATTTCTCCAAGCAGTCCACAGGGTGCACCATGACAAAGCTCAATGCAAACCTCACCTAACAAAAAAGGCTTTGATTAAATTGTATAACCAAGGAAGTAAGCGGTGAAACTAGTCTGCTTACTTATTGCTCTAGTATCTTATGTGGACTCCAGGGACACAGGGGCGTTACCCTGTCCTATTCAGAAATTATCTTTACCTTATTGCTTAATCACCAAAGCTGTCTAGCTCATTTAGGGCAGTGTGCCCTTATTCATTACAAGGTTAATACCCAGGGCAGGTACCTGGAGAGAATAGCAGATAAAATGGTGTGGCAAGTCCAAAATGTCTACTGCAAATGTTTCAGTAGTACATAAATACTTAGAAGCCTCTACATCACTATGGCGTGAGTTCTTGTGGGAGAAATTTGATCCAGAAGAATCATGGCAGGGCCAGTAGTCCTATCTTTCTTCCATTAAGTAATTCTAAGCAGCAGAGCCTAAGGACCATCAACACTTAATCGGAGCATGAACTATTCAGCATTAAATAGCATTGACTGTGCCATTCCTCGCATATCAAAAACAAATAGTTACAAAACTTCAACCCAATTGTAACTTTCTTCACAAACTTTGACGACTTTTATTCAATTCACACACTAGTAATAGTATCCGTATGTCCTTTTCCCAAGTCAAATGCAAACCAGTGGTGTATTTTGTCACAACACCCTAAATTCACATAAATTACAACTAAACAAAATACATAATTACGTGTTTCACTGATACTTGATAATACATATGTTGAAAGTGTAAGTACTATGGTCCCCAACTCAGTTCTGTTTTAAAAGTGCACATCCAGTTTACAGCCTGCCTCGATTCTAAATTCAGTGTCATTACCCAAGTCTCACTCTTCAATGGCCCTGTAAACCACAAAATCGAAAATAAATTACTTTACGGTGTTTGACGTTATATATTAGGTGCCACTTTAGCGTTGAAGTCACCTTGAGGATACAAAACCACTAGGCCCAGATAGTTGTTTTCGCTAGCGCTGAGCCGCCATTTTCTAACAGGGAAGGAAGACATGTTGGAACAAACAACAAAAGAGGAGCGGCCATTTCCAACCACCGATTTTTGATTGCATGATAATTTCTTAACATGTTAAAGCTGGAACAGTGAACAAACCAACATGGTTCATGACGGATTTTGCGTTCGAAGAATCTTAAAGTTTAAAGTAAATGTGCAACGTCTCCATAAGCAAAGACCAAGGAAAATAATGAAGCCAAGGAGATTAAAGCTAATGCCAGCTAGTTTGCTAACGTTAGCTATCAGAGCTAGCTGCAGTTGGCATATGGTAAAATAAACTAGAAATGTGTTTGCAGGCAAGATCTAACTTTGTACAAATGTTGCACAAATATATGACTCGTCTCTCATTTTCAAATACATGTCAAATATTAAACTGTGTTCAAAAGACAATTACGTGTATATTACCTTATGTGTGGGATTCCAACTCCTCCTTGTAAGATTTTGTACAGTTTGCTTTCATATAACAACTGTGGGTGTCTGGCTTTCTGAGATTCCAATTTTACAGCTACCTCCTGCAATACAAAAGAATCAGTTATAAGTAGCCTAGTACAGTCTACATACTTTCCAGTAGCCGAATTGGCTAGCTGACTTTAACTAAATAAAGATGCATTAATGCAATCCTAATTTACTAGGTACAACAAACGTTTAATTTCTAAGAAAATAACGTTATGTACACGGTTCACAATGACCAATATCTACAATCTTAGATGACAGTTGGCTAGCTAGGCTAACGTAGCTATCATTCAGTATCGTTGGACAACATTTCAGTTAGCTAAGCAAGGCTAGTTGACGCTAACTAAACAATCTACTGGGGTGTATTCATGCGGCCGATTCTGTTGCAAAACGTTTAGCAACAGAATCTGTTTATTCTAAACGGAAAACTTTTGCAACTTAATATAGATTTTCTAATGGACAAATTCATGTAAATTCCTCCCAGTTTCGTTTGGTTCTTAAACAGTAAACGTTTTGCGTAACGAATATACCCCTGTTCAATCTCGTTTAGTCAGCTTGGCTGTTGATTGACAGAGCTAACGGTTAGCTAGTTAACATTAACAGTTACCCACTTGGTCGAAATTATATTTGAATGTTTTTTACCTCTCCATTTGTGATGTTGATCGCCAGGTATATGTCACCAAATGACCCAGATCCAATTTTTCTGACAAGCTTATATTTCCCACCGACAATGAATTCGGCTTTAGAGCCGCTGCTGCTTGCCATATCCTCAAAATCACGAGCAACCTTTGATCAGTTTAAAATTGGATTCTCTGGGACAGCGCCGTCGGTTTCGTACATACACAGAAGTCCTGGTTGCTCGTGGGCGATGTACTTGAAACAATGTAACGTTAGCTAGCTAGCTAGAACAGTGTTTCTTTTCAGGCGTTATTCGCTAGCTAGCTAGTAAAAAATCTTGGAAAAAATAAAACCAACACATCACGAAAATGGGAACACGATTCTTCTGAAAACACTCCTAGTGTGCCTAGTATGTCCGTCGCCCAGTGCCTGGGTAGCTAGCTAACGTTAGCCCACTAGTGTAGAACTATCGAAAGGACACCAGCGGAATTGCGAAATTCCGTTCGATCTGTTTGAACCACCTCCACAAGAGGGGCAATATTCTTCTTGTTTGTCAAATTTTCGAAGATAGCTACAATTTGAACGTGATTCTCCTTTCTTCGTAGAATATTTTAGGAAAATCAAGGGTCGCTGCTTTCCTTCAAAGCGCAACCCACTCACTCCGCCATTTCTTGTCACTACTTTTGATTCTACCGTCCGTCTCGAGGTGATTAGCTAGCTAGCTTAGCTTCTGGGAGCGAGCGCAGTAGCAGAGACGAGCTGTGACGTAATGGGTTAGTGCTTCTTCTTCTTCTTCTTCCTCTTTGGGATTGGATTGGCGGATCGCATCCAACTTTTAGCTGCATACACCGCCACCTACTGTACTGGAGTGTGAGGCCAGTCACGGTCTACCTATATACATTAAATTCCGGTAAAACAAAATTGGGGAAAGGGAAAAGTACCCTGCCAACTATTAGCCCTCAGTAAAAAAAACACCACCCCATTCCACAATTTAACCCTATCTAATGCTACTCCAGGCCAACGGTCTGGGAGGACAGAACACTACCACTCAACACCCCCTGCAACTCTTCTGCAGTAAAACCTTGCAATCCCAAGTACTTCTCTGCAGCTGCCACCACAAACTCTATTTTCTGTAACTTAAGTTCCATTTCTGCAGTACAGTTGACAACCATGCTAAGAAACCAGTGGAGGCTGCTGAGGGGAGGACGGCTCATAATAATGTCCGGAACAGAGCAAATGAAATGGCATCAAACACATGGAAATCATGTGTTTGATGTATTTGATACCATTCCGCTCCAGCCATTACCACAAGCCTGTTCTCCCCAATTAAGTTGCCACCAATCTCCTGTGTAAGAAACCTACCTTACTGAAGCATATATTATTCCCATCCCTCTCTATTGGTCTCTGCCTACTCAATGGGCAAGTTAATTTTGCATGGCATTTACCATATTATAACTATGATTGCATGAAATCGGGCAAATATTAATGTTAAATGTATGTATTGTAACTAGTTCAAGATAGCAAGTCGTTTCCACTGATGTTTTCAGATCAAAAGCAGCACTCTCTATCTACCTTTTAATCTAGGCCCCCATATAAAATCGGAGAGTATATCATCATCATTTCCGTGTTGCAATTTTGATGACAGTTGTTTTGACATAGGCTATTGTATTAACAGCGTAGTTGTAATGAGTGTCACTAGTGTTACAGCGGTTCACTGGTGCCATCTATTACCTCACAGGCTATAAATATGTTTAGTGAAAGAAAATAAATGCATTTTAACTACACATTTTACAAAAAAAATATTTGATGAAATACCAACATTAATTGAACAAGCCTGCCCCCAAAGTTGTCTGATAATTGAGTAGAGAAAAAAATATTGTGAACAGAGAAAGCATGCTGCATGTGACCTGTTGTAAAGATGCCATAGAAATGAATAACCTACATACTAGGCCTACTCGGATACATCTATTCATTCTAAAATATACACTATTATTTTCTTCAATTGAAAATGTACAAAGTTTTCTGAGACTTGGTTTTCTTTCTAATGGAGTCGTTTGTGGATGCACGTTTTAATTTAATCTCTACAAATTACATTGACAAAGGTCCAACTTTTTCCAGTCATTCAAGTCTCTCATTATCTACCACTGAACTGTCGTTCACTTTGGTAGCTGTGTAGTGAAACTGGGGTTTGCATGAACAATAATGGTCTGTCTCGCTTTTATTTCTATACAGACATAATAGAAAAAGTATTATTATTTAGAAATAAGTACATCCTATTCTGACAATGTGAATTGAAAAAGGGAAGATATATACTGCATGTTTGTTTTGTTACAGAGATGAAATAAGCATTGAGCAAATGAAACCGAACACATACACAAGAACACAAACTGCAGTACTTATGTTTTTTTTAATGTTGTGGGCCCACTATCGATATCTGTATGATAGTCATGATGACAATGCTGAGTGAGGAATACATCGGAAAACATCAACATTGGCCTCTGCTGGCCAACTCACTGCTCTGTGGCAAAACCTCAGTGGCATTTCTAAACAAACCAGTTGGGAGGAGAGATGGAGAGGTGGGAGGAGTGATATTTGACCGACAGGTCAAGCTTCAAAAGCCCTATATAAAAATCAGGTTAGATGGCAAGGGAAACACGCATCTGCAGACTCACAAGCTCCAAGCCATATCTTCAAAGAGACCATGAAGCTGACAATACTGCTCTGCGCTACCATGCTCCTCTCTCGCTCTGGTGAGTGCCATTATCATAACCAACTGGTAACAGCACTTACAAGCTGTTGTGTCATGCATGTACAAATATTGCTTGATATTTTTTACGTGGAATATTTCACTTATTCTGTACTTAGATCAATGAGGTTTTGGGGATTATCAGGCAACTCTTCAAATGTTAAGTGTTGTGCTAGTTCAAAACAGGCCAAATAGCTACCCAAACTATCTGTATTGTGCACTAACATGTTTAACTCATCACATTCACTGCTGCTACTGTTTATTATCGATCCTGTTGCCTAGTCACTTTATTCCTAGTTATATGTACATACACTATATAAACAAAAGTATGTGGAAACCCCTTCAAACCATCTGGCAGTCCGACGGACAAATCTGGGTTTGGCAGATGCCAGGAGAACGCTACCTGCCTGAATGCGTAGTGCCAACTGTAAAGTTTGGTGGAGGAATAATGGTCTGGGGCTGTTTTTCATGGTTCGGGCTAGGCCGTTTAGTTCCAGTGAAGGGAAATCGTAACGCTACAGCATACAGTGACATTCTAGACGATTCTGTTGGCCTGCACAGAGCCCTGATCTCAACCTCATTGAACATCTTTGGGATGAATTGGAACGCCGACTATGAGCCAGGCCTAATCGCCCAACATCAGTGCCCGACCTCACTAATGCTCTTGTGGCTGAATGGAAGCAAATCCCCGCAGCAATGTTCCAACATCTAGTGGAAAGCCTTCCCAGAAGAGTGGAGGCTGTTATAGCAGCAAAGTGGGGACCAACTCCATATTAATGCCCATGATTTTGGAATGAGATGTTCGACAAGCAGGTGTCCACATACTTTTGGTAATGTAGCGTATCTACCTCAATTACCTTGTACCCCTGCACATCGACTCGGTACAGGTACCCAGTGTATATAGCCAAGTTATCGTTACTCATTGTGTATTTATTATTACTTTTATTATTCCGTGTTATTACTTTTCTATTATTTCTCTATTTTCTTTGTCTCTGCATTGTTGTTGTTTACGAAGCATTTGACTAATAACATTTGATTTGAATGTAAGAATGAACTGTAGTCTATAAACAAGTGATCACAGATCAATTATGTGAAGGATACCTTGTCACGATTCTCTAAAGCAGAACCCAGAAGCAGACCAGGACGAGGTGAGTAGAACGAAGGTGAGTGTTTATTTACAGATTCAAATGTGGAAGCAGAATAATCCAGGAGACGGAGCGGGCAGCGGAGGTGAGTTGGTGGGAGTGAATAGGCAGATCCAATGGTGTCACAGAAGCCACCGACGACCAGGCAGGGGTGGGGTGAATGTTCCGGGAGAAGGACTGTAGACAGAGTAAACAGAGGTGAGTACACGGCAAGCAAAAAGTACAGAACAACAAAACTAACTCTAGTAAACTTGAGGCTGATACGCTGACACAACATACTGTTCATGGCTAACGATCCGGCAGGGAATGGATGTCAGGTCAGAGCTTATGAAGTGGAGAGGTGATGATCAGGACCAGGTGTGCAGATAGCTGATGAGATGCAGGTGCGGGTAATTGAGAGATCTCCCGCCTAGCCTCGTCGCCCGGCAACCAGACAGGGTGCGTTCAGGAACCTGACTCCAAGACAGAAAACAGGCAACTCAGGCAGAAACAGACTCATGACAGTACCCCCCCTCCGACGAACGCCACCGGGCGGACTACCTGGAGCGCCAGGATGGAGGCGGTAGAAGTCACGAAGGAGGTCAGCATCAAGGATCTGATGCCGAGGAATCCAACTCCTCTCCTCAGGACCATACTCCTCCCAGTCCACGAGATACTGGAAACCCCGACCCCGCCGTCTGGAATCCATGATGCGGCGCACCGTGTAGACAGGACCACCTCCGATCATCCGAGGAGGAGGAGGAGGAGGCGGAGGGGGCAGCAGAGGACTGAGGAGAACAGGCTTGAGGCAGGAGACATGAAAGGTGGGCTGGACTCTGAGCGTTCTAGGCAACTTGAGTCGAACCACAACAGGATTAATCACTCTCTCCACCACAAATGGACCAATGAACTCAGGTGACAGTTTCTTCGACTCAGTCCACAGAGGAAGATCCCGTGTAGCCAACCAGACCTTATCTCCGATGGCATAAGCGGGGGCTGGAATACAGCGACGATTCGCCTGGAGCTGATACCAGTCAGAAACGCTAAGGAGGGCCTATCTGGCCCGATGCCAGGTCCGGTGGTAACGACGAATGTGGGCCTGGACAGAGGGAACCGAGAGATCCTTCTCCTGAGAAGGAAACAAGGGAGGTTGGTAGCCGTACAGGTACTGGAAGGGAGACATCCCAGTAGCAGATGTAGGGAGAGTATTGTGGGCATACTCGACCCATGGCAACTGAGAGACCCAAGAGGTGGGGTTGGAGGAGACAAGGCAGTGC